CCTCAACCGTCTCCTGATGGCCAGAGACAAAGATCAGCCTATATGCACAATGGCTAGATGTATGTGACTAACATCCGATGGAGTGACCGGACCATAATGGTCCCCAGGCCACGGCAGCTGTCATGATTGGACATCATTCAAACAAGGCCGAAGTAGAGCAGAAGCTGGGTTGGGACTTAACGTCTATGGGCCAAGACGGTCCACGCCATTTAACCCCTCAGATGGCCGCACAAAAAAAATGTTTGACGCGGCATCTGTCCAAACTGAGGGTGAAATGTCAGAGAGGGGAGAATAACATGGCACGCCCTTTCCAGTATTTTAGGAAAGCGCCACATAAGTAAATCAGAGGTTGCATGAGTGACTAACGTGATACGTGATGCGTCCATGGTGAGTCTTTGGAATAAGGAGTAGTAACTGGGAAATGAAGGATCTACCCTGTGGGATGAATCACATGCAACATCGAGCGACCCCAGCAGCAATTAAAGTTCCTCGCGGTTGCCAGACCTAGTTGCAAAAAGAGTTCAAATGCATGATAGGGTGCGCTCAATCCATGTCCTGGGGAAGGCCATCTTGTAAGTGGATAGAGTCAATTAGGATCCCCAAAATTGCGTGGCGTTATCAAGACCTAATGTCTTGCGAGGGGTGACTGGGGTAGCCAGGGACTCCAAAGCCAACATGGGTGTAAGGCTGCTAGGGGGGGAGTGCCTTGTTCTGAACAAAGGTGAAAATTGTACAGGTAGAAACAACGAACGGACATCAGTATATATTAAACCATAACCAATACAAACTATCAGCCAAGTAGCACAGATTCTGGGGCCGCTCTTGGAGCTAAAAGTGATTTGTGAGAAAAATAAAGCCCCTGCCACATAAATGCAGAGCAGATGCCATGGCTAAGGGTGAATGGGAAGTTAGTTAAAACATTGACAATGTCAGTTTTGGGCCAAGCGCCTGTACCAGTCACCAGGATGTCCCAAATGGCATAGTTGATAGTGGCATTTGTAAGGAAAGTTCTTCAGATGGTATGAGGGAATGAAGACTGGGAACAGTGGAGAAGTCTAGTATTGGTCTGGGTTTAAGTGGAGCGTTCCCCGTGTCCCCCCTATGGGGTTGGTTCTCCCCAATGTGAAAAGGCGGGAACCAAAAACCCCCCACAACCCTCAAACTAGTTCCGTCCATATAACTGTACACACTAACTCTTGTCCTGTGAAAGTGGTTGCAAATAATTGCCTTCTAGTGTCCCAATTGTCAAAATGTACCAAACCCTTGAGCCAGCCTATTGCTGATAAATTTAACCAAACAGGGTGAGGGATGGTATTGTAAAAGTGTAACCAATAACGTGACGTTGAAGCCTGTGTGGCGAGGTTATAGGAAAACATAATGCATTCACATGGAATTAGCATGAGCCCGGGAATAAATAGAACAAAACGTGCAACAATCTACCTGAACTAGAACCACCTGTCCCTCCGAACTTGATACATAACAGAAAATATACATGTCACTCAATCATTATAAGTGAGACGAAGGGACCTGGTACTGGCAGGCTAGCTAGAAGCCAAACGGCGAAGAATTAAGCTAACGAAACGTGACAGATGAGTCCCTACTAATTGCCAAGCGGCGTGAGAGGTGCTAACTATGAGTTGGCCCGAGGGGATTTTTGAGGCCGCCGAAACGTTGTGGCGAGGTGTCGGCCTCTCGGTGGCAACTAAAGCATAAGATAGAATGGGAGTGACATGGGAGGCCCTCCCTATGCAACAAAGCGAGGCGGCTACCTATGAATTGGGCCGAGGGACGTATACCTCAGAGTATGAGGATGGGTGATGGCCTCGCGGGACCACTAACGTATGGATTAAGACCGGAAACAGAACCTAGTTGGGCAACCTAAATCTCAAAAAGCCAGTACTACCCTAAATAGAAAGTACGGGGTTGTGAAAACGTGCATGATACAGTTGAGTCAGGATGAGATTATAAGCAGAAAAATAGAAGCGCAAGGGAGGTAGTAGATACGTGCTGCAACCTAGTAAAACGATAAGGGGAGTATCTGTGCGTATAGCTTATGTGAGTGGCCCAGATCGTGGACCCGAACAGTAAATGGAAACCTACCATAACCCATAGATGAGCAATGAAAATAAGACAGAGGTAGGTGACGGAATTGCAGTGCTCGTACAGCAACCGCCCCGCAAAACCAAGGCACCTAAAGAAAGTGAGATGTTAATGCCCGTTCAAAATAACTTACAATGAGTACAACCCCAAACCACAACATCAACCCAATAAGGCCAAGTAATTGGTTAATGATGTCACAAAATATAAGCTCAATATCCTGCAATGAGCTTTATGGGAACATGATAACAAATGTCAGCTAACAGATAAATTAATTAACCAGTCGACGTACCGAGGACTCCCATGGCGGGAGGCGACCGTAAAGTAGGGTACCAAAACAATTATACAAACAAATGCAAATGTATACTGTTAGGTTTAAACATGTTAGAAGACGTTAGTATAACATATATGTGAAACATAGGGTACACAGCCCTGCCATAACTATATTATAGAACAACAGTGTTGTGCTTAGATTGCTGTCCAGAGAAACATAAACATTAACCTTATGCAAATATACACATTCTTATAGACAAGCTCTGAAAAATTTGTAAAAAGCAAAATACTAAGGCCATGATGTCTCTATATAACCTACGTGCGTCATATAAGACTAATTCATACATTTATGTTAGACAGAGATATATGTGAAACCATGTAAGTCGTAGAACCTTTGAGGGGCTACTGGCTGCTAAGGAGGAGCAACCACCTGCAAATCTCTTAAACGAATGGCTGAAAATCCGCCAGAATGAGGAAAATGCAAGCACTTACCCTGTATTTAAAGACTTCTCGTAAAGAGCTGAAAAGAAAGTGCCGAACGTTGCACGAAATTGCAAGATTTATGCAAGCAGCGTTGCTGTGAGCAGTTAAACCTGCCGAATGAACCCATTCTGTAAAAAGCAAACCGACACGTCGCAAGTTTAAAAAGTGTAACATGACTACACATGCTCAACCCAGCGTGTCTGCAGGTGGGCAGGAGGCCTGTATGCGGGGGTACGTGAATTGAAAACGTGGTGCCGGGGAATCCCGGTGAGTAGGAAGTGGCTACTGGTCCTGACGGCATGCTAAGAGGCACCCGTCAGGAAACTTACTATTAGCGGTCCAACCTCGAGGACCCGACAGGCGTCCGATGGTGCAGACAGAGTTCTGAAAGGCACCCGTCTGTATAGACTCACTGATGGGTAACAAACCACGTGGAACGGACAGGCGCCTGGCAGAGGGGACTCACAGCGGGAGCAGGACCTCCGTGAAGCGATGCCGGTCAGGACCCTTGATTCTCGACCCGAAAGTGCAGCCCGACCTGAAAGTGAAAACCCCCAGCAACGCTGGAACTTGAGTGCAGGTAACCACTATGGGAACCGGAAGTCCAGTCTGAATTGATTCACCAGACTGTCCACGGTAAGGTGGGAGAGGATTGGCCGCCCTTTTAAGGGAATTCAAGCCCCTCCCACAACTACAGGCCAAGGCCTTACATTTATCTACAAAAACTAATGAAAAAAACTGCTAAATAGATTCAAAATTTGGTCCTAAGTTTAAAAACACCCAGTGTTCACATGTTTTTTTTGCAAGTTATAGGGCTAAGTACAAATAGGAAATTTCTGTTTCAAAATATTGTATTTTCTAAATGTATTGTGGCGAAACCAACCTCGCCACTGGGCATTGGAGATGCCTGTTTGCCTGCCTGCTGGCCCCTGGGAGATTTGGGCCTTTAAATACAGTAGCTGGGCATATTGTATTTTATTATGCTGCTACTGGCCCTTTAATGCCCAAAGAAAGGATTTTGTACTTTTAAACTGGCACTTCGGATGCAGCCGAAGTTGTCGAAGTGGCCGCCATTCGAATACCGAACACGTGGTGGCGGCCATTTTAACTAATTCGAACGTGGTCAGCGGTGTGTGCAGCCAAATCTATGGAGCTGTTTTCGGCTACCCAATTGCATGAACACCACTGACCCATACGGTCTACTCTACTTCGACACTGCGGCTGGAGACTAAGTCCCATTCGAAGATTCGAACGCTCGTTCTAATGGGACTTAGTCATTTTCTCAGTGTAAAATAGACCGACTGCACAGCCCAAATCCATGGAACTGTTTTGGGCATGAAGTGACTTATATGTATCTCCCGAACGGCTGAACGGATCAGAATGATTTTTGGGTATGTTTGTATTTGGAATGTGCTGATTAATAATATGTGACTTATTAATTTATTAATATTGGATATATGGTTTTAGAGTTATGAAAGTTGGGTAAAAAGTGTGTTTTAAAATGTATGGATAATTG